TTGTTCCTGCCTGGAGTTCACCTCTGGGTTGTGACTATCAACTTATCTGAATAGGAATGTTTCAGGAGTCCACCGTGCTGCATGACACTATTCCTGGGGAGACGCAAACAAACATCTACTCACCCCAGATAGGGAACTAATGACAGGCCATATAGTAAGGATACCCCCAAAGTCCAACTTGGCGAACCAGTGAGTTTATCAGGGTTAGTTAAAAAAGTGTGAGTCAGGGGTTACTTTCAGGAACAAGAATAATTCAAAGACAGATGCTTCACCAAGAGCCTACCCCAGCATGCGTGTCAGCTTCACAACTGGCAGGCAGCTTGACAGGTCAGAGAATCTCTCTTCTAGGCAGCTCAGCTGCTTTGGGCCTCTTCAAGGAAGCTTGGTTGGTCTCTCAGTCTTTTTCATGTAATTCGGCTAGTCTAAGAGTGCCTCTCCACAGTATTCATTACTTATATAAGCTAGGGCGGGGTGAGGGGGTTAGTGCATCTGGTCCGTTTCAGGACTTCCTAAAATTTCTGAGTTGTTTATTTCCTGAGTTTTCAGGACCCTCCTTTAGAATATAAGGAGCTTCCCTACCCTGTAGAAGGAATGTTTCACCTACCTATAGAACATCCTGGATATGAAGTGCTGCTCTCTAAGTTGGAACATTTTATTTCAAAGGAAGTTAGTACACAACATTGAACCAAGGTACCCTTTTCTTTCCCTTCCTTGTGAGCAATGTTACAGATCAGTGCTGTTTCTTTCTACTTATTCCTGTGGATATGATAGAATGTACAGCCTTCCTGCCATGACTACCCCAAACCTGGTACAGTAATAGCCCTTTTGGTTTCCAAGGTTATAAAATAGCTCTTCTTAGCAGATCATGACTATATTGATATTCAGCAGGCCATCTGGTTAGAATGCTGATTCTGGTTTCATTGGTTGGGGTGTGGCCTGTGACTCTCCCTTCCTAAAGTTTCTGGATATATTCATGCGCCACCATGCTCAGATGCTACTGAGTAGGTCCCCAGCAGGGAAATGTGGGCATCTGGGACTAGTGTAGCATCCTTTGACAGCTAGTCCTCATTTACAGACATGGAAATCACACCTTGTTTTGCTGGGCCCATTAAACAGCATGTAACCCCCATCCTTAAAAGGTCACAACAATAAACCAAAGTAAGACTCTATCCAAGTGCAGCCTGGGGGATCAATACATTTCTTGGGCTTAGTTACAGAGCATAGGTGACCCAAAAGTTGCCACACTGGAAACTCTTCACTCAGCATAGATGAGAGCTTCTTGACAGCTGCATGGACAGAATTCTTTCCAGTTAGTCTTCTATCTCTAATCCTAGCACTCCTGAGAGAGGGACATGCAATTAAAGTGAGATTGTACACAAAGGCAGCAGAGACAGGAGGGAGGATCTTGAATCTTGGCTGAGAGTTCAGTGACCCTACCCATGGACTCTTTCTTAGAAGGAACATCAGTAGTTGGCAGTCCTGCTCATAAGGGTTTTCAGGCAGACACAGCTCATCTGGTGGAATGGTACTATAGACCAGGCTCTACAACTCACCTTCAAATAATTGAGAAAACCGAAGATAGCTGTTCAATTTTAATTTTTTGACTATATGAAATGCAGTTATTTTAGAACATATTTTAGGCAAGATCTTATTGTACACTTTTATGGGTTGGTGCATTCAGACGTTAAGACGTGCCATTTCTTAACATGAATCATCTTCACCTTGTTAATATATTGAGTACAAGGGTCATCAGTCCACAGCATGGGCTATCTTACCTGGGAAATGCTCATAGACTCGATGATTAACAATAATGTTCTTTTGGTACTGAGAGTGAGTCCACCAAATTAGATCTGTGGTAGTCATCGTTTCACACTGTGTGTGAGGGTGTTCAGCCAGTCCTCTCAGCATCTGGTTACCCCTGGCTATATGGTACCATCACTATCTTCTCTTTTTAAAGGGATGGGTATGTTTCATATAATTGTCCTTTTTGTTTCTTCCCAAATCCTGAGTCTGTATCCTTACGAGAAGCAGTAGAATTGACTTCTACCAACTTCATGTTAATAGAAGAAAGCAAGCTCATCTGCGTCCTGTGATTTACAGTAACTGTGGGGTAAGGCTACGTTGTCGCTGTGGCTAGAGTGAGACAGGATGTAGGCTGTTATTTCTACACGTGAAAAGCTAGAAGTGTGGACACCTTAGGCTAGTAGTCTGAGGAAGGTGAGCCCCGGGCTGTTACCATTATAAGTGGCCCTTGGGATGAGACTTTATGGTCTTGAGTGGTTGGAGATCTTGTCTTCAATGGGAAGCCTTGGTGATCCTCACGCCCCACCTAAAGAGCCTTTCTTACAATGGCTCCTGTGACTGGCTACACAGCCCCACCATCCAAGAAGGACCGCACTGAAAAAAGGCAAAGTGAAATGGTAGCTACCCTGCAGGACTAAGTGGCAAAACCAAGATTTCAACTGAAGTCGGTATGGCTCTAAATCCTTTGAAATCCAGCCCTGAAAAACAGAGCATTGTGGGAATTATTAAGACCTGTTGTAAACCAAGGTAGGCAACAGGGCGGCAAGCTGACTCAGAGTCTGACACCAACATTGGATCCTGTTAGTTTAGACTACTTTAAAATCCACATTTGATGGACACACATGCCAGCAGTTGAGAGGCTTGTGTCTTCAGTATGTTAATTAAGTGTCCTTTGGAGTTCCTTTGGTACTATGTGGAACTGGATTTCTGACTGCTGCCTGGTCTGTGACTAGTTAACATGATACCTCCCAGGTGGGCATGGAGCCAACGATCACATTGATGGTATGATGCTTGATGCTGGAGGCCAGAAGATCCCCACAGGATGTCTTGGAGGAGATTGTAGAAGTCAGATCAGCTTCCTTGTAGCCAAACCACAAATTGCTAAGGTTTCCTTGAAGTCCTAGAATTCCAAAGAGTATCGGCCCACCCAGTAGAAGAATGCTGAGCTCGGCAAAAACTCTACAGGGAGACACCTAAGCCATCAAAGGGAATTCTGGCATGACTTGAACTACTTTAGTCTTCATGTGGAGAACGAGAATGTACAGGTACAAGTGTCTACACGGTTAGGAGTGTGGTTTCCTGCGTCTTGGGTAGCGCTTGAGATTCTCCGAGTGAGGAGAGCTCCCAGCTGATAGTGAGGCCCCTGGCCCATGGACTGCTCCGAGTAGAATAGATCTTCACTGTTGTATCTCCCTCCATCTTTATCACTCCTCTTCTGCAAGCTCCTTGGTGAGTCACTTTGTGATGATTGTATTTAGGGAAGCAGGACAGACAGGGAGAGGGGCAGTGCAGAATCTTCTGAGGGACGGTTTGTGATCAGAAAAACTCTGGATGGAAAGCCTCAGGGTTTCTTTATTTCACTACTTTTTAGTTAGCTTTTAATTGGCTAATATGTGTGGTGATGTTCATATGGGAACCTAAAGAATAAAATGTTTGGAAGGCTGTCTGGAGAGCATGGTGTTCACTGAGGCAGGCTGTTTCATACATGACATAGGGAGTCACTGGAGAGAAAGAGGGGTAAATGTGAAATAGTTCTCACTCTACACGATCAGAGTCATTCTGAAATAAACTGATTTTTAGAGAAGAAGCTGAGTGGAGGGATGGATTGATTAACTGGGGCTTCCTACAGGTAGAGATGCTGACCGCGTAGTTTTGGAGGCAGAGTGTTGTTTAAGTGGATGAGGAAACGGTAAGAGGACAGACACGGTGAGACCAGCAGGGCAGGGGGCAGGAGCCACTTAGAAGGTGCTGGCATGTGGGAAGCAGTTTGTCACAGGGCTTAGTCATAAGGCCGAAAGGGGCAGGGTGACAAGAAACTGAAGAAGTCAGAGCCGCGTAATTTCTAAGAGATGGTGACCAATTATTGCTTCTAGATATCTGGGGTCCAGACTTGGGTTTCCTCAGGCTACTTCTGCAGCTGAGTTGTGGGTCCACAACCTGGACTGTACCTACTAGAAGTGGTTCCCCTGAACTCTGAAGCAGAGCAAAAGCAGATGCTGGACAGGCAGGCAGGAGAGCAGTGGTGCTCAGTTTGGTTTCCAGGGCAACAGGGACTGCGGGTCCATGGCAAGCACCCAGTGTCCAGTGCTGACTGTGCACATTTGCTGGCGGCTGGGTCAGTGCCCAGGAGAGATGGCGGCAGTATCTTCCCTGGCCCAGCTCAGTTCTGATTTGAGGCTTTGTCCTGGTGGAGCCGCTAATCCTGGCTCTGCACCATCCTAGACTCTCCAAACTGAAAATGCTTTTTATAATTTCCCTTTCTTAAAAAAAAGTGGAGGCTTCTGTTCTTTGTAGCTTAGGACCTGACAGGCATAGAGAATGAACGAGAGTGCTTGCGGCTCATCTTAAGAGAGCCACAAAAAATGTTTGTAATCCTCAGGGTGAATGATACAGTTCATGAAGGAAGAAAGTCTGCACAGTCAGGGTAAGGTCAAAGACACTGAGCTCAGGTGACACGGGAAGTAAAAATTTAATGTCATGGAGTGAACTCCCAGAAACCACTAGGTAGCTGCTGTTGTCTGCATCTCTGACACTTACCTTGTGATAAAACAATGTGCTACACAATGGCATTTCAATCAGCAACAAGCTGAATATATTGGAAGGTGTGTGTGTGTGTGTGTAGTAGGCTATTCCATTTAGACTGAACCCAGGGTCTCCTGTGTGCTAGGCAAGCACTCTTCCACTGAGCCTTGCACCTATATCCCCAGCTGGATTTGAATAAGTATATGCTATGAGGCACCCACAGTGACAAAGATCACCTACCGGTACATTTCTCAGAGTCTCTCCCAGTCGGTAAGCAATGTGTGGCTGCCGTCTTTTTCTTCTTCTTCTTCTCCTCCTCCTCCTCCTCCTCCTCCTCCTCCTCCTCCTCCTCCTCCTCCCCCTCCTCCTCCTTCTCCTCCTCCTTCTTCTTCTGATCAATTGTACATGTCATAAATATTAGAACTAGAATTCTGTGCTAGAACTGACTCCAATTATTGCTCCATCAGGCTGTTGTCTCAGTGGTTTGGTCTACAGGTCTCTGTGGAACACATGATAATGGTCGTGAGTGACAACTGCCTTTGTGGTGGTTAAGATCTTCTGTCAGAGGTACAAGTTACTAAATTAAGAGCTATGAGATGGGGATTTGTGGGATTTAAGAACTGCCAAGGCCCTCTGTGTGCAGAGGGCAGATGCCTTCTCCTCTGGGGATGCCTGTTCTGGGGAAGTTCCAGAGGGGGCCAGGGGGCCACCAGGTTGGATAGGGAAAGGGAGAGAGCTGTTTAAGTTGGGAGAATCAAGTACAGGAAGGCACATTAAGCTCAGGTTGCCTCCTCAGAATCCTTTCAGTGTGGTAACTTGGCATTGTGGCCATCTGCTCTATTAACTCCAAATGAAAAATGACGCAAAGACAAAGTTCAGAGTTCTAAAATCATGGTGGAAACAGACGGCTGATGTGTGTTTAGGGAACAGACGGTCCTGGGGCCACCCATCTGCTTAGGACCAGTCTTTCTCTGTGTTGGGAAATAATTCCTCCTGGCTTCTGCATGGAGACTGAGGGGGAGAGCTAACCAAGAGTCGTCTCCAGCTGGGATGGCAGGTGGACCGCCAGGCAGTGAGGGCAAAGAGGACGGTTCAACACACGACCCCCACTACTCTTTTTCACATGGCCTTCTGTCGGCCAATCCATGCTCCTGGATTTTGTGTCCCAGGACACTGTCTTTTTCTTTCTTGGTCCCTTTGGAGATTTTCCTTGCCAAGGAAAAAGCACCAGAAAGATGTTGAAAATGTTATTCCTACTTCTGTAGCAAAAATCAAGGTTAAGGTAAAGACATTAATGGGCTTTTTAGAGTTTGGACTTTTTTGCTTTTTTCCCCCAGAAAGGGTCTCATGTAACTCAGATTAGCCTCAAACTCACCATGTAGCTGAGGACAACCTTGAACTTCTGGTCCTCCTGCCTCTACCTCTTGATTACTGGGATCATAGGCAAGAAACATACCATGCCCAGGTTATATGGTGCTAGGAACTGAATCTAGCCAAGATTTTGTGCATACCAGGCAACTGTTCTACCAAGGGGACTACATCCCCTTCCCCCAAATGGATCTTTCAAAAAGCAAAAGGTTTTGATCTCTGTCTTATCAAATCCCACATGACTGCAAAGGCCAAGCTTTCGAGTCCCTCTGATAAGTCTGTTTGTGCGAAGCAGGTACTTTGTGAACATGTTTGTAAACTGGGACACCTGAAGATCAGTTTGTAGCTAAAGATCCGCTTTGCATCTATTGGTGTCTATCATCATGTTTGTTTTGTATTTAGAATGCTATTGTTAGAGCCAACAATACATTATTGAAACACTGGGAGAAGAACCAAAAAAAACAAAAAACAAAAAACAAAACAAAAAAACAGTCAGGACACGGTGACTTAAATACTGAACTGTGTCTCTCTTCCTCAAAACGTATGGTTGATGTCCCCAAACCCTGCACCTCCACATATGACTATATTTGGACAAAGGGTCTGTAAAGCGGTAATTATCATTAGATGAGGTCACTAGGGAGGCCCCGAGTCTAAAGTGAGCAGCGTCCTTTTCAGATAAGGATGTGACTGGCGTGTGACTCAGTTGGTCGAGCGCTTGCCCTGCACGCACAAAACCCTGGTTCAGAACAGCATAAACAGGGCATGTTGGTACACGCCTGCAACCCTGGAGGTGGAGGCAGAGGCGGGGGCATCACAAGTTCACAGTCGTCCTTGTCTACTAGTGGATTTGAGGCCAACCTAGAATATAGGAGACAGTGCCCCCAAAGAAGGTTAGACCGTGATGGCGAATTGACCAGGCTCTGAGGGCCTTTTCTGCGCAGTGAGAGAGTGGTCAGGCTGAGTTTCGAGACGATGGAAAAGGGAAGAGACCAGGATGCTGCCGTTGGTTAGGGAGCCGGGCTGTGGTGTGAAGGGGCTTTCTGCAGCAGCTGTTGCTTCTGTTTCCGTGGTAACCAGCAGAGAAATAGACGCACCCAGTGCAGGTGCACAAGAGTTGAGCACAGGGCTGGTTTCCTCCACATAGCCCTGGCCAGCCAGAGTTGGCGACCTCAGGCTCCTCCCAGGATGCAAGCTGAAAGTTTCAATGTGTGGACGCGGACGTGTGGAAACTTTGAATTCCAGGGGCTGCGATTACAAGAGCTGTGGCAGTGCCCGGCTTAGAAGGACCTCCAGGGTCTGCCGCCTGGCCCCGTTCAGTGTTCCTGCCTCTGGTAACTACATCACTAACTCTACTGAGAAAACTCATTGCTGGGCCAGATCTGGGACTCACAACTCCCCATCACAGCTCTGGAGAGAAGCTGGGGATACCAGTGAATATCTCAGGGTTCCCCCATCTTGCTGCCGGTCCTTACCAAGCAACTCGGCTAAGCATACACCCAGGCTCTCCCTCTCCAAGAGCCCCGCCTCTGCAGACATGGGCTCAGAACTCAGTGCCCGCCCCATCACTTTCCTACATGCCTTTGTCTCACTCCTTCTGCAGTCAAGACTGACCATATCCAGTAAGCCCCACCCCAGGACACTTGCATGTGCCTATTTCTCTGCCTGGGATGTTCTACCTCTCTGTCTTTAGCGTTTTTGTCTCAGTCACCTCAGCTATCTGTCCCTTTTGTGGGGGGTTTTCCTGACCGGCTGTGAGAAATGTCATTCCTAATCTCCGTCACTTCCTAGTTCCCTGCTTACTTTACTTCATGTCTCACATCAGGATTTGTGTATTCATATCAAAATGTCAGCCTCGGGGGGCAGGGAATTTGGTTTCTTCCTCTTAAAGTGCCAGTGTCTAAAATTGCTATAATAGTGACTGCTCAATGGATGTAAGTTGAATACGTGACTGACTGACTAGGATGGGAGAAAGGACATGCACACATACTTAAGTCTACATCAAGTGGATATTTTCATATACTTAGTCATCTTTACATGTGGTTTCTTTAGGACTGTTTCTTGGGAATCTCCTGTTTTTCTTTGCTTCTGGCCAGGAGCCTTTTCTGTGGTACTTCAGCACTGGGGTGCCTGCCTTGGACCTATCCATAAGTGATGACAGAACACTCTAGAGGCATTGACTTGAGCGCAAGCACTGGTATGGGGGTCTGCGGAGGCTTTTCCAGAGGGAGCCTGTCATTGACAGCCTGCTTTTCCTGAGGGCTGTGTTTATATTTATTGAGTGTGGGTGACTGAGCAGGGTGTGGTAGAAACAGTGGCTCTTGATATAGGAAGATGGGAGGGAAGTAATCAAAATAATTATTATTTGCCGGTCCAAAGTTCCTAGCTTCCCACTGAGAGGCAAGGCAGAGGCACCCTGGGAAGGGAAGTACCTTCCGTCAGGACATGCTCACATGGCCTGGCAGCTTCCTGCCAGATGGTGGTTGTCCCCAGTGACACTCTGGGTCCTTTGTCCTGTCTCTGTATTTTTCTTTAAAATACTATAGAGATAAGAGTTGCTTTTGACTAATGTCAGAACACTGTGCAATGGGAGATCATGGAAATGCTGCCAGCAGGCAGAAAGCCCCAGTGTGTGGTAATCTCCTCAGAGGGTTATGAGTCAGTGGGCCACACAGGCCCAATGTGGAGCCCTCTCAGAACACCTGACAGGAGCCATCGACTCTGTGAAATGTAGAAAGAAGCCCCCACCCAATTATGAAGAGGCTGCTAAAAGGAAAGAAAAGGTTTGCACAGCTAACACAACACAGGGTTTGCCAAAACCACCCTGCCCCAATTCTCCTGTCAGCAGAGACACTTTTCTGAAGAGCCAGTGACTCGTGACTTCCTTGCTGGATGGTCCCCACCCCTCCTGCTACACACCCCCATTCCACTCAGGTCCTCTGCCCACAGCACCTATTTTCTGTGTTTCTCTGGAAGGGTACTCCCCATATCAGAAATTCCATTGAGAGCACAACGATCTACCCTCCAGATGGCTGCAAATGTCATATCACTTATTTCACTGTAGGTAGCACTTAGCAGCGACTGACCCTTAAAGGAGGTAGCAGCTCAGGGCTCTGAGGATTGCTCTGTGCAAAGTCGATTCAAGAGTGAGGAAGGGACAAACCCCATCTGATGTCTTTACCGCAGAGATCATTCTACATCCTTCCTAGGGCAGGAAGAGCAGGTGACTGGGACACCGAACACTTGGCAAGCCTGTGGCTTTCCTGCTCTGGCATACTTTACCGGGCTTCTCATGAACAATGACCTTTGCAAAAACACAATGACCTTTGCAGAGATGGCCAAACCTGGCAACCCTTCAGCAAGCTCAGATCCAAAAGAGCTTCTTCTGCTTTCCCCGACAGAACTGAACGATCAGGAAGAAAGGCTTTTAAAAACAGTCACCAAAGACTTTGGCTGAGGTTTAGAGCCCCCCAACCCCCACCTGTGATGACAGCATGAGTAAACAGTGAAAGGATATCAAATTGCAGCTTGCAACCCTAACAGGTGCCCTAGTGGAGATGCTGTGTGCAAGCCTGTGCCTTGAGACAGAAGGACATCCTCTCGGGGTGGGGGTGGGGGGCAGCACTGCTCTGTGTTCCCTGGTCTGAACATTAAGACCTAGGGATTTGGAGGTGAGAGACAGGAAAGGGCCTTTAATGAAGTAAAAATCTTCCTTTGCCCTTCAAAGTTGCTTCTGCTGCACCCGTTGAACTCACTGACTTTCTTGTCTGCCTTACCTTGAAGAAACTTGTGGCTTGAAGCAGTTCCAGGCATAGTTTCTTCCTGTGGAAGACAGTGCACGTGACAATTAGGGCTCAGACAGTCATAGTGTGGCCCCTGCTTCTGCCATTCTCCAGGAGCAACCCTGACAATGGCTTCCCATCTGAAAATTTTAGTTTCTTGGTGTGGGAAAGAGGGCGGGGGGGGGGGCCGGGGGGCAGGGGGAGAGGAGAGACAGAGACAGAGAGGGAGAGAGGGAGAGAGGGAGAGAGAAGTTATGCCACACAGGGTGATAATGCTTCCCTCAAGAGCCATAGCCTAGCTAACATCAACAACAACAAAATATAAACAAAAAGGAAACAAAATCTTCACTTCCAATTGTTGGTCATCAGAATCCAAGAGATACCCCCAAACAATGTAGGCTATTGTCATCGACAAAACTT